AGCTACTTGGCAGGGTAGGTGATGATATGTCGTGATGAAGAGCCCACAAGCTCCCTCATGTATTAACTGTGTCACTTCGGCTAAGTTTCTTTGAACATCTCTCTGCCTCAGTTTTCTTACCTGTCAGGATAAAACTAGGTATGTTGTGATTTTTCTATCAATTAATACTTATAATGTGTTTAGAATAGTGCATGACATTACAGTAGATTGCTAAAATATCTTTTACTCTATCCTTCTAATTTCATGGCTGAGGTTTTATGTGACTTGGGAGCTTTTGTAATGAAATAAAGACCCAAAAAACCAGTTACACCTGAGTGTCTTTCAGAGTAGGTTTGATGAAGAATGGAGAGTCATGGAGAAATATGATAGGACAAAGTGGGTATGAGCTGGAGGAAACTTAGCAAGGCCTATTGATTCAGATTCTTCTCTGCATCCCTTCATCTTTGTGACCTTTTTTTTTTTTTTTTTTTTTTTTGAGACAGAGTCTCACTCTGTCTCCTGGGCTAGAGTGCTATGGTGTCAGCCTAGCTCACAGCAACCTCAAACTCCTGGGCTCAGTCTCCCAAGTACCTAGGACTACAGGTGTGCACTACCACACCCAGCTAATTTTTACTATTTTTAGTAGTGGAAACTAAAAATATCACTCTTGCTCAGGCTAGTCTTGAATTCCTGAGCTCAAGTAATCCTCCTATCTTGGCCTCCCAGAGTGCTAGGATTATAGGCATGAGCCACCGCACCCGGCCATCCCTTCATCTTTAGAGATAAGGATGCTCTTTTTCTGCGTGTTCAGGAAGGGCACCTCTCACATGATGGTCTTTTATGACCTGTTTCAGGAGAAGGTCAGAAAATCCTTCCTAAATTTTATGACCTGTTTCAGGAGAGAAGGGTAGGAAAAAGTCAGAGAGACCTTCATGCTTCTTCTATTTGCTCAAATTCCTGCAGCTTAAAATATTCCATATGCCCGGACATCACCTTTTGGGGTAGAGTGTCCTGAACCCCATCATCACATAGGAAGCGTGCCACTAAATATGAGATTTACAGCTCAGTGGCTTTTCTCCACTGAGAAGTGTACAGAATTTTTGGTTTTTGGTTTCAACTTCTCTGTCAGCACCACTTTCCAAGAATTGACTTTGGCAACGTACATGAAATTGCACTGTGGCTCAGTTTCGCTCCAATTATGGACTCTGCCTGTGACACTGTCCCCTACCACCAGCCTTCTCCCCTCATCCTCCATTTCCATATGAAGACAGTGTAATACTCTTTTAAATGCCACTTGCAATGAGCCTCTCCTACTGCATTTTCACCACTTCCCTCATGCGCTTCTTTAAAAGTTGTGCTAGTTTCCTGTGGCTGCTACAAGTTACCAAAACCTTGGTGGCTTAAACAACAGAAATTTACCGTCTCATAGTTCCAGAAGCCAAGAATCAATTTGTGGGCAGATCTGCACATCTTCTGGAGGCTTCTTCCCTTGCTTCTTCCAGCTTCGTGTGGCTCCTGGCTTTCCTCGCCTGTGCAGGCAGTATCAGCCCAGTCTGCAAGGCTGCAATTTTCAAATTTATCTCTGCTGGTCTTCACGCCACCCCTTCTATCTGTGTTATCTGCCTTTCTCTTATAACACTTGTATGGATTGAGAACCCATCCACTTACTTCAGGATCATGTCCCCAAGCCAAAAGCTTTAATTTAATCATTTCTGCAAAGTCTCTTTTTTCTTATAAGGAAAGATTTACAGATTCCAGGATGCAGTAGCCAATATCTTTGGGTGGCCGTTATTAAGGTTACTTCATAAGCAATTCCTTCTTTGAATCCACAAATTCGTTGATATTTTTCTAATGACATTACCTCATTTAAAAAAAATAATTGTGTATGTCATACTTGTTATCATCTATGTGGGATTCCTGAAAAGAAAGAGGTGTGTCTATTTCTCTTACTGTTTATTTCTTTATCCTGTACAGTAGCAAATTCAGACTTGCACATTAATAACTATCAATTTTTTGTTAAATTTAATACATTTTACAAATACTAATTATGATGACTGATATTATTGAAAATGTCAAGATTTCTTATTTTTCAAAGTATATGAAATTTGTGTTTTTGTTATATTCATGTGCTAAGCCCTGGAGTTACCAAAGTAAGATCAGGTTCTTATATGCAAAGAGCTCACACCATAGTTGGGGAAAAGGACATATAAAGAAAGAAGTATAAACAAATGTGAGGATGATAAAAGGGTACTCCAAGAAGGACGCTCTGCTGGAAGAGAGATAGTAATTCAGAGCATAGTTATGCCTAAAATTGCTTTTATTATAGAAGTTATATCCAATTTGCATATTTTGATCACTAACTACTGGAATCTTGACTGACAGATTTCTAATATTATTAATCTGAAATGCATGTGATATAGAATTGACTTTTAATATTTTAGTGGCAATGGTCCTAGCTTTTTGAAATATTATGTAGAATAAAGGCCTCTGCACTTTCCTTTCTTTTAAAAAAGTAATTACTTTTGGCTACATTTTTTAATTCTTTGTTGAGATGATAGGCAAGCATCTTATTTCTCAGTTTATTGACCTATTTATTCCTCCTCCCCTTAAAAAAATTATGCCTTCAAAGGAGAGTAAGGATTCTCATACAGTTTCTGCTCTCCCTCCTGTACCCACTGTACCTACAGCCAATTGCAGATCTAAGTGGCATGAAATAGCTTTGGTCTCTTTTATCATGATCCTCTGGTTATCATCCCTCTTGTGGAGAAATTGCAGTAGCCACTTCCCCCAATGATACACCCTCTAGAATTCTATTCTCCTAGAACCTGAATAGCATCTGAGTTTAGCTTGGAGAGGCCACATTGTTATGAGAATGACAGTCTGGTCACTTATTTTTTCATATATGACACATTTGTCTCCCAATAATTTATTCTAAAGTATATAAAAAATAAAAATAACTTTTTAAATCTGTGGCTTTCAACCTTACTACAATCATTTTACCTTGATTTTTACTTGATTTTATGATACTTCTTTCCCCTTCTCTTAAAGAGATCTCCTATTCTTGTCTCTATGATACAAAGTTATCACATGGATCTAGATAATAATAAAAACAATGGATCTGTTTTATTTTTGAATATTCATGAGAGCACTTAAAACATATGGTAAAATCTTTTATTTCCCCATCCCTGAAAATAACTTACACTCATGGACACTTAATAACTGCCACACGATACACTGAGTATTTTAGGTCTACTACAGGAGTTAATTAATTGTTCTGAGTTAAAGATGAGAATACTGAGGTTCAAAGAAGCTAAATGACCTGTCTGAAGTCATATAGTTAGGAAGTGGCAAAATGAAATGAGGAACTATTTTTCCCATTCATTCTTTCATTTGGCATCTATTTATGGAATGCTTACTATGTGCCAGGCATGTTTTTAAACAGTGAAGATACAGAGGTGAGCAGAAAAAGATATTGTTCCTTCCTTCACAGAGGTTACAACAGAGTATGGGGGGGACATTATTTAATCAATCTTATAAATAAATGCAATATTTCATCTGTAATGTGTATTAGTCAGAAGGAAACACGATAATCTGTGCAACAGGAGGATTGGATGTATTTTTAGGGAGGAATCACAGAAGGCTGTGCTGGAAAACATTCATTAAGGGTTCGCTATGCAGAGGGAATATGAAGGATGTTCAAGACAAAGATACTGAACTGTGTCCCTCCAAAATTCATATGTTGAAGCCCAAGCCCCCCACGTGATAGTATTCAGAGATGGGCAGCAGAGCCCTTATAAGAAAAGAGATTCCAGAGTGCACTTGTGTTTTCTCTCTTTCTCCACGCCCCCCATGCTGGAACCTTGCTTGATCTTGGACTTTTAGCCTTCAGAACTGTGAGAAAATAAATTTATGTTGTTTAAGTCCCCCTGTCTGTGGTATTTTGTTTTGGCCACTAGAGCTAGGCAAGAGAGGCATATACGAACATTCTGCACAAGATGACTTGACTGGCTTCAAGGAAAAGAAGGCCAATGTATTAGTGTGCAGAGTCCAAGAGGGAACCTGGGTTGAAATGAGGCTGGGGGCCAGGTGGGGCTAGTCCTTGCATGGTCTCAGGAAACACTTTAGGAATATGGCTCTTTATACTGAGCACATTCAGAAATCACTGAAAAGCTAATGACCTGACACATTTGCATTCTGGAAAGATCACTCTGGCTGCTGTGCAGATGGGAGATAGAAGATGGGAATGGTGAGGAGCTGGGCAAAAGCCAAGAATGATTCCCAGGCTTCTGCCTGGCACAGCTGGATTCCCTGAAGAGAGAATACTGAATAAGGAACAGGATTGGGGAGAAGGACGGAAGACATGAAGACAGTATACGGACCTTTAAACTTGCCTCAACTGTATTCCTATCTATAATCTGTTTGGCCTATAGGCCACAGCCAGGGGCATATTTGGGGGAAATATCAAAGTTCATTTTTGACATGTTGATTTTGAGATAAAATTGGAACATCCAAGTAATAATTTCAAGCAGACTGTTTGTAATACTGGTCTGGAGCTTTGAGAAGATGTCAGGGGCAGATATATATTTGTGGCTATTTGCTACTTAATGGATATTAAAAAAATGGGGAGAGAATACAGAATAAGAATGTAGGAGACTCCAGGACCCAATAAATCCCACACTCCAAAGTATAATGGCTAGTGGGAAACCATGGATTGTAGGGGTCACAAATGAATGCGGGAGAATCACTGAGCTGTCCCTGGCTCTTCTCTGTACAGCAGAGAATTTTGTTCCTTGGGCTACTTTTGTCCTCTGGCTTTTTGATACAATTGGCCAGTTTGAGCCACTGGTTGATGATTGGAAAGCAAGAATTGGGGAGAAATCTGGGTATTTTATTCTGTAGAAGGTTCCTATTGCTGCTGTAACAAATAAGAACAAATTTAGTCACTTAAAACAACACAAATCTATTATCTTATAGTTATGGAAGCCAGAAGTCTGAAAAAGATCTCACTGGGCTCAAATCAAGGTGCCAGCAGGGCTGCGATCCTTCTGGAGGCTCCAGGGAGAATCCATTTCCTTGCATTTCCAGCTTCAATGTCCCCGCATGCCTTGGATTGTGGCCCCACCCTCCATCTTCAAAGCCACAGGTACAGCATCTGCAAATCTCTCCAACTTTGACCCTTGCTCTGTCCTCACATCTCCTTCTCTGACTCTCTGGTCTTCCTCTTTCACTTATAGGGACCCTTATAATTACACTGGGCCCATTCAAATAATTCAGGATAACCTCCCTACCTCACAAGCTCCTTAATTTAATTACATCTGCAAAGTTCCTCTTGCTGTGTCAGGTAACATATGCACTGGCTTCAGGGATTAGGATGTGGATGGTTTGGGGGGCCATTACTGTGCCCATTATGCACCCCCTTTTACTCAGCCTCCTACAGTGTCCTGTCCCATCCGTGGCTCCAGCTCCTGTCAGAAACCCCCTCCTGGAGAGATCTGAGTTCCTGTCATGTGGACTCCACCATGCTTTCAGCACCTGCCAGATGGCCCTGGCTTTAGAGCTCTGGTAACCACTTTCCGTCATGCCCCACTAGGGGTGGTAGAAGTTTCTTGATGCTGCTAACCTTCCATTTGCCTCGCTTTGCCCTGTTTGGCATCTCAGCTCTTGCATTACCCAAGTAACCATAACCACAAGTGAAATAGCCTCAGGTGGTTTCTGTTTTCCTGACTTGCTGGACCTTGACAGATGAGAAACTGATGGCAGCTTGGATTCAAGTAGTGACAGAGGTGGAAACTTTTGCTCATATTTCATTGAAGTTATAAATCAGAATGATTAGAATTTCAAGGAATGTTTTTCAGGTCAAAAATCCTGCTCTATTCCATCATGCTACCTTTAAAAAGTGTTACATATTTCTTAATTATGCATCAGGAATATGTTAATTGTGTTTGTGGAAATTAGAGAAAGACTGCCACAAAAACTTCCTTTTCTCATTGCATCAGGTAGTTAGAATGCATCATTAAAGGTTTCTGTGGATGGATGGATTTCTGTTATTTGGTTGTGATTGAAGCAAGACTTAAAGTTGAAGGATGAATAAAAGCTATCAGCAAATATCCAAGGAAGGTAATTTTTAATGCAAGGGATCCATAAATGGTAAATTTTAAAGAACGCTAAAATTCAGTTTTCAAGACATAAGTTCCAAAATTAATGAATCAAGTACTTCTACAAAATAGCAAAAGGAACTCATATTAACATATTTTAAAGATCCTTTAAAAGAAAACTTTACGACAACTGTTTATGACAGCTGGAAATCTTAGCTTTTCTCCAGCATCAAGGTCCCAAGTAGAAAGTACATTATCTGAATTGATTCAGAAACCTCCTCACTGGCAGGCAACTCACTTGGTGAAGTGAGTTCTAATGACTTGGGGAAGGAAGTGAGGAAGCGAGTTATTTGGATATCTGGGAGAAGAGACTGACAAATGCAAAGGCCCTGAATTGGAAGCAGCACTGGCATATTTGATTAAAGCCAGAAGGCCAGATATCTCAAGAGGGTGAATGAGCGGCACAGTCGTAGGAAAGGAAGGTCGTGGGGTTAGTTCACACTGGCATGTAGGTCAGAGCAAGGGCTTTGGATTTTATATAAATGAGATGGGAAGTAATTAGTAGACTTTGAGCAGAAGGGTGACATGATTTGTTTCATATATAGTAAGGATAACTGGCCACTGAATTATAGGCTGAATAAAGATTAAAGGGCTGCAAGGGTGGAAGCAGAGAGACACTTAAGAGGCTTTTGCAATAATCCAGGTAGAGTGGAATGTGTACTGGACCATGTGGGTAGCTGCAGAAATTGTTATAAATAGTAAACTCTGGCTATATTTTTATTGTGGAGCCAACAGGATTTGCTGATTACATATGGGGTGGAGGAGAGGATTCAAGGACAACTGCCAGGTTATTGGCCTGAGCAACCAGAAGTACTGCGTTGTAACTAATTGAGATAAGGAAGACTAGAGAAAGGGAAATTTGGGGGAGATATCAGAACCCAGTTGTGAATGTGTGAAATTGCAGGTATATATTAAACACCCCAGTGAAAAGCTAGAGCAGGATGTTAGATAAATAGACCTGGACTTCAGGGAAGAGGTCCAGGTTGGTGATACACATTTGACAGTAATCACCATATGGTGGTATTTGACTTCTGTGACTGGGTGAGTGTGGGGATGGAAGTAAAAATGGTTTGAGAACCGAATTTAGGAAAACTCCCAAATTTAGACGTTGGAGGAATGAAGAGGAACTAGCAAAGGAGCATGAGAAGGAGCAGCCAGAAAGGCAGATGGAAAACCAAGAAAGCACAATGTCCTGGAAGCCAAGTGAAGACAGCATCTCAAGACACAGAAATTCTCACTGTGCCACATGCTGGAATGGATCAAGTACAATGAGGACTGAGAGCTGAGCCCTGAATTTAGCAACGCGGAGATTACTGGTGACTTGATAACAACACTGTGGATTGGTATGCATGCAAGAGACAATAGGAAGGGAGGAATTGGAGACAGCAGCTATGGAAACTCTGTCAAGTAATTGTTCTGTAAAGGGAGAATGAAAAATGGGAGCTGGCAGGATGGGTTCATAACAAGATTTTTGTTTGGGAGAAATAACCGCATCTTTGTATATTCATGAGATTGATTCAGTGGAGTAAGGAATAGTAATGCTATCAAAGAGAGAGGGAGAATCAGAGTAAAAAAGAGGGGCAGGGATCTAATGAACATGGGAGGGGCTGGCTTTAGCCAGAAAATTCCTCCACAGGAATAGGAGAGAAGGTAGAAAACCTGGGCACAAATGGAAGTAGAAAGGTATGCACAATGATTAAGAGCTCTTCTGATTACTGTAAGACTTTGAATGAAGAAAGAAACAAGGCCATGAGCTGAGAATGAGCATTGGAGAGGATATTTTGTCAGCCTGAGAAGAATGGGAGGAAGTATGAAATGGGTATCTAGAAGAATGAGACAGTGAATGAAGTGGGAAAATATAGTATGACTCCCAGGCTGGGTTACGGGTGTGGTTTTGGTTAGCGATCATGTATTCAGATGTTTTGCATGCTTTCCTTCTGCTACGTGCACCTGCATGGACGCAGGCACTGAATAGGGAGGAAGCTGATATAAACTGGGTCGTGTTTTTGCCAAGCCAGCGTAGTTCAGCTACACTGGAACAAAAAAGTTGAAGATGAAAGCAAGAGAGTGATTATAAAGATTGATGATGAAATCAAAGTCACATAAGGAGGAATATGAGGACATAAAGTGAACAAGGCATGGTGAAAAGTGGTACAATCAATAGACTGAAGGTTGCAATCATGTAGAAAGAGTTTTTTTTTTTTTTTTTTTTAAGGCAAGTACTAGAAAGAATGAGATAAAAATAAGGTGTTATAGTTGTCAGGGCCCTAGCGGAAAACAGATGGCATATTCAAACTGGGCAATCGAGGAAGTTTGGTAAGAAGACTTCACAAATGTAGGTTAGAGTTTAGGAATCCCGCATGGAATAGTAGTGCAGTGCCCTGGGAACAGTAAGGGTCAGTCACCACCCCTAAGCCTGCAGGAGCAAGAGAAGGAAGGCACAACCTAAAGAAGGTAGCTACAAGGAGCGGGTCATCGGACAGGATCCAAGACAACCCCCCATTACTGGGCAAGAGGGGGTTCTGGGGATATAAAGGACTGGCTTCATTCTCCTTATGGCCTTCATTTTTCTAAAATGATTCCCATTAGCCAAATCCGTGAGGAAAGCAGAAGGCGAGGGAGCTTTTTGGTGTGATCTGTATGGGACACAGAGCAGGGTGAAGCGAGACGAGAGCCTCTGGGGCCGTGGCGTGGGGGAGCAGCGGTGAGGGTGGGGTTAGGTTAAGGTCATAAATTATTTTTAAATGAAATTGTAAGCAATAATTATGACTGTTTAACTGCCAAAAGAAAGACTCTTGAATAAAGTGCTGTAGGTGGGTAATAAGCTGTTGGTTGAGATTACTCTGAGCTTGGGGAAGGCTTACGCTCAGCAGGCCAAGGCTCACAGGGGCTGAGAGAGGAAGCGAGGAGCCATCCCGATGGGTGGAGCAACGCTGTGGAGGTGACCCGTGCAACGCTCACCTTCCGACCCCACTGAAAGCACTTCTCACTAAAACCCTTTTTTTTTTGGTCTTTATTTTTTTCCCTTTCTCTGCTATTTTCTCTTCCTATTTCTTTAAGGTTCATATAATACCAAGATCTTCTCTTCAGCCAGACTCCTTTCTCTCACTTTAGGTATTCACACCTGGCTTCACCTATCCACCATAGTCTGAGGATTCCGGAATGTACATTTTCATCAATTTCTTAAAGAGATTGGTGTTGATTTGAATATTTTAGTTTCTTCATGGAGCAGGTCCCAAGGTAAATTCACTGTTTTTCCCCCAAACCTGTTTCTCTTTCGTTATTATTTATTTCAATGCCTTTACCAACCATCCAGTCACCCAAGCTACAAACCATGCTGCCATATTGAATTCCCCCCTTTTTCTCACTAACACTCCTATTTTAGCCCCATCCACACCTTCATCTAATGATTAATTAGCTTTAGAGACATCACAGGTATCAATCACTTGACTCCACTCTCTCCATTCTTACTGACATTCTTTAGTAAAAGCTCTAATCAGCTTTCACCTGCACTTTGTATAGGCAAAGGCAACTTTTTAAAAAGCAGATGGTGCTAATCAAATATGTTACTATAATTACTTTCTTCTTGCACCAGGAACTGGCCACCCAAGAACAGAACTATAGTTTCTTAATGCTAAATAATTAAAAGCAATATATTAAATATTCTTAATATAGAAGTTGTAAAGATGATTTATTACTTTTACTGGCAAATCCCTTGTTTGGTAAATGTAAGGACAAAGGAGTATAAAATTTTGAGATCCTATATCTAGCATTTAAGTTCTTGTTTATATGAACTCACTTCTTTAGGAATTTATCTTACCCATGAAATCATCAGTTCCAGATGTAGAGTTAAGGGAAGTAAACTGAGATAGGTATTATGACTGGAAACTAGGAAGTTTATAGTTTGACTATTTATAAATTCTATCTTTTCTAGTGCTAATTTTTGAATCTACTGCTTTATGAAGATTAAATAAGACAGCACTCAGATGGATGTGTACCCAAGGAGAACTGTGCAAACATTTCCTTTATGTTGATAGTGTGAGCACTTACTTTTTTCAAAACATTCAAGTTTGGCATCACTGGAAATTATTGGAAAGGTTAAAGTATTTCAGAATATGGCTTAAGATTTCACATCTCATTTAACTTGAAATGAGATAAAAGGTTGCAGGAAATGTTCTCAAAAATAGACCTTTTAACGTTTTGAACTAAAAGTATACAACCTGAGACTAGAAACTAGTTCTGTAATATTTATCCCAGGAAAAGAGTTTGCAAATTCTAGTACAGATCTAGAACATAGTTTGAAATGGAAAGAATTTAAACTTCAATACAATAATCAGAGTTTTCTATGGTATTAGTTCTTAATCTTTACTGCTACATTTATAAAGTGTGTTCCATAGACATTGAGAGACCTGATCAGATAAAGCTTTGTAAAAGGCCAAAATAGAAAATAAAATGAATACAATTATTATTTAATGCATGAGAACATCAGTGTCTCTCAGTCCAGCATCTATTATCACTGTAGTTTGAGATTTCTCAAAGAAATAATATTCAAAACTTTTCATCTATCTTCATAAAGATCACAATATTTTAGTACTTCAGGAATTGCTATCAATGTTGCAATTATTGTTTTCAGCATGTAACCCTATATGCTTTTGAAATTTACACAAATGGCTTCAAACTATTTAAAAACTAAAGCTGTTTTTTTAATTATAAAAAAGAAAAATCAGGCAGAAAAACTGGAGTCATCCAATATAAATAAAATGATCTTTTCAAACATTTTACACTAATGGGAATAGAAAAATAAGTGCTGGTTTGTTAGGAAAGTGGGGTCAAAATAAGGTTCTCTCTCTCTTTTTAAGATGGGAGAAATAACTTCACACTTTTATATCATTGGAAATAATAGGGTAGAGAGAGAAAATATGGAGAAATAGGAGACAAAGGGAAGAATTGCTGGTGAATAGGACCTAATACACACATGGAGGAGGTAACTGTAGATAAAAACGCAGATGGTTCACTAAAGGCAAAATCCATATGTACAAATGCTGGTCAACTGAAGATATAAAGAGAGGGATCTGGAAATTTCCTTTTTATAGCTTCAAGTTTTTCAGCTATAGAGGAAGAAGGTTCTAAATTGACACTGATTACAGAGGAGAAAGCGTTGGAAGTTGAAAGAGAGGAAGTATGGAGAGGCTTAGAGGACAGTGGAAGAAGGAGAAATGTGACCTCCAGGCAGCTTCATGGCTCCCTTGAGTTTCAAGGGCAGCGAGCATGGTTTCGTGTTTTTTACCAACCGTGTTCAACTGCTCTCGTGCCCACAGGGAACAGGTGAACTGTTAAGTTAACAGTGCAACGACCAGCCAAGTGAGAGAAAAGCGAGTTAAGGATGATTACATGGGAGTGATTATGACAGTGGATTTGTGCTGGGTAAGGAGCAAAGGAGAAATGAAGAAGGTAAAAGTGAGTGCAAAGGGGGTAGGATCACAGCATTGGCCATTTCAGTAGGTTTGGAGGAATGCTGAAGTCAGAAGTAAAGGGAATGTGCAGGAAGGAAAGAAGGTGGTGGCAAAAGAGGTAAAAGGAAATTATAACAGCACTGTATTTACTAGTAATGGCAAGGTGGGGTGGTTGAGACAAGTGGAAGACAAGGTCTCTATAGGAGAGAAGCTTATGAACTGAGGATGCAGGGAATTAGAAGTAGTATCTATGTGTAAATAAATTCCCAGGCAGGATCACAGAGCCCGGAACAAACATTTGAGAGATTGGGCTTGTGACACGGTTGCTACAGGGGACAGCATCTGTAAAAAATGAGACTAAAAAATGGAGAGTTGTTCAGACAAGGAAGGAGGGATGATCTAAAAGCCACAATGAAGAGCAAGTGGAAAAACCTACCCCCAACTCCAGGCTTAATGGTAAGAGGGCCATAGGAGAGAGAGAAACAAACAAACAAACTAACTAACTAACAAACTCATGGCTTGAGAGGGCTTTGGGGAAACGGTTTGCTTAAGGAATAACATTTAGAGAAAAAGTATAAACACCAGGCACAGTGGCTCACGCCTGTAATTCTAGCACTCTGGTAGGCGAATTGGGGGGGGGGGGAATTGCGTGAGCCCAGGATTTCAAGACCAGCCTGAGAAAAAGTGAGAACCCCATCTCTATTAAAAGTAGAAAAAGTAGCTGGACATTATGGCACCTGCCTATAGCCCCTGCTACTCAGGAGGCTGAAGCAGAAGGATCCTTTGAGCACAGGAGTTTGAGGTTTCAGTGAGCTACAATGAAGCCATTGCACTCTACCTGGGGCAACAGAGTAAGACTCTGTCAAAAAACAAACAAACAAACAAACAAAAACTATAATTACTATCTTCAATAAAAATGTTAACTCTTGAAAAATAAGAAAAAGGCATTCAGATTTGGGAAGGGATAAGAAAATAAAGAATGTAATTCTAGGGTTTTTTTCTGCCTCTTTGTTTTCTGTAAGGTTTTTTTTTGTTTGTTTTTCTTTTTAAATAGGATTGACCGATCATTAAAGTAATATATCTTTTTGTATTTGTAGAATTAGTTATAGCAACTTCATGATACTCTCTAAAAGTTTACTATTTTATAAGTAAATATGGTAGGTTGAATAATGGCCTCTAAAATATTTCCATATCCTAATCCTTCAAACCATGAACATTACCTTATATGACAAAAGGTCTTTGCAGATGAGCTTAAGTTAAGGATCTTGAGATGGGGAGATTATCTGGGATGGTCTGATATGATCACAATGGTGCATAAAGGAGGAAACAGGGGAGTCAGTCAGGGGAGGAGGTGAGGATAGAAGCAGGGATTGGAGTGAGGCAGCCACTAGCAAAAGAATGCAGTAGCCTTTAGAATGTAGAAGTGGCAGAAAGTAGACTCTTTCCTGGATCCTTCAGTAAGTGTATTGGGTCAAGGAGGAACTTAAGATGGAAATCAAAAGATTTTTCAAACTAAATGACAAAGGAGACACAGTTATCAAAATCTATGGGACTGAGCAAAAACAGTCCTAAGAAGAAAATTCATATCCTTAAATGCTTACATCCAAAAGACAGAAAGACCACAAATCAACAGTCTAATGAATCATCTCAAGGAACTGGAAAAGAAAGAGTCAACCAATCCCAAACCCAGAAGAAGAAAAGAAATAACTAAGGTCAGAGAGAACAAAATAAAAACAATAACAAAAGAATTATACAGAAGGTTAATGAAATAAAAAGTTGGTTATTTGAAAAAATAAACAAAATTGATAGACTTCTCACTAGATTAACCAGAAACAGAAAAGAAAGGACACTAGTAAGCTCAAACAGAAATGAAAAAGTAGATACTACAACTGATACCATGGAAATATAAAATACCATGTCTGAAAACTATAAAAATCTCTATGTACATAAACTTGAAAATGTTGAGGAAATGGAAACATTCTTGGAAACACACAATCTTCCTAGACTCCATCAGAAAGAAATAGAAATTCTGAACAGACCAATATCAAACAACAAAATTGAAACAGCAATAAAAAATCTCCCAACAAAGAAAAAGTCTCAGACCAGATGATTTCACAGGCAAATGTTATCAGACCTACAAAGAAGAGCTGATACCTATACTGAAGAAATTATTCCGTAACATTGAGAAGAAAGGAATCCTCCCCAACTCATCTATGAAGCCCATATCACCTTGATATGAAAGCCAGGAAGGGACACAACAAAAAAAGAAAACTACAGGCCAATATCCCTTGTGAATATAGATGTAAAACACCTCAATAAAATCTTAGCAAACCAAATTCAGCTGCATTTTAAAATGAAGTATTGATTTAATTTAATTTTTTTAGTCTACTAAAACCTTTAGAGTGTATCATTACTGATTTAACTAACTTTTAGTTAGAAACAACGTGCTGCGGTGTGCTTGAATTTAAACAGTAGTGCCTCATTTTAAGAGTCTCTCATAGTTGTTTCGCTAGAATAATGTTTCAATGGTAATATATCAGAGCAATATCAAGAAATAAAAAATCATTCTAAAAATTGACTCACAATTAAACAATTTAATTCATTTTAAGGTTAATACATAAAGAAAAAGAGAAGTAATTTGCAAACATAAAGGAAAGAATATGGCACAGTAATTTGTACTCAAAATGGTCTTTGTAGAACTATGGAATGCTGACATTTTATGTTTTAACTGCATCATTAACAGCAAAATTATCAGGTCATAGGCCACTTTTTTAAACTAGCTTAGGATTTTCCAGTTCTCGAAGACAGTGTTTAACATAGTAGAACTAATATTGAATTTACGTTACACCCACCACTTTACACTGGGTGTTATAAAAATCTCTTCACACAAACAACTTAAATCTCTCCTTCTATGATGTAAACTGTTTCCATGAAGGCTCATTTTTGCATGCTCCCCCAAATCAGCACAGCTTCATCCATGTATTAGGTCCTCTGTAAGTGCTAATAGAATAGACTGTTTGTTGATGGAAGGAACTGTGAACAAATCCTCAAGAGATCAGAGTTTTCAATCTGGTTCTCCCCCATATGAACTTTGTGTCCTTATTTCATTCCCAACATCTCTTTAGTTCCCAATCTGAAAAAAATAGAAGAGTGGATTAAATAGTTTTTAGATATCTTCAAGTTCTAAATGTGATTTGTAAGTAGCGCACTTCTATACTGCTTACATTCTTCTGGAAGCCTCTCTGGGCAGACTCTTTCTCTCTTGCTAGCTTTTCCATTGCTTCGAATATGCATATCTTTAAACAGAGTGATGGATTCTGTGTATATATATTTTTCGTCACGAGTAATTGTCTGTGTTTAGTCTCTCCTGTGGAAAGCTGGTACCCAAATCATAAGCTTTTATTTTCAGCCTAGCATCTGTTCAATTTAAAAGTATATATAAGTGTCAGGTTCCTTGAAAAACTAATTTGTTGGCTCCTTCTTTATTTTTTTAACTAATGGAAGGCTTCTCTCACTTGTTCCCAGAAGAATTTGGTATTTCAGATGGCAGCTTTTCTGAGAGCAGTTCCTTTCCTTCATCATGGACTTCATTCTGGTAAGTCAGTGTCCTCGGGTTGTTTTCAGTGCTCAAATTGACAGGGAGAAGGATGTGAGTCCCAGGCCACGCTCCTGCAGCTGGAAATCTAACGTTTCTCACTGGCGCTGTGACAAGCAGGACAGCAGACCTCTGCAGCTGAAGGGTGCAGAGAGCTGCAAACACAGCCACTGGGCTTTTCTACTCACTGATAAAAAAAATAAACCATGTTTTCTAGCCTGGTGAAAGCAGAAACTGTTTTGCAGAAATAGTACTCCCCGATCAATTTTCATTATAGTTTTAGTTATAAAATGAAAAGGTGGGTCTAATTGCCTTACTTTTATGCACAGACTGCATGAAGAGAAGTCAAGGGCATTGTCCTTGCTTGCCCTTGAGGGAAATGATGGATGAGGGAAGGACAGGGAGAAAGAGAAAGAGAGAAAAGAAAGAAAGTGAAGAAATAAAGGAGAGATCTGTAACTGTTTAAAAATATATAGTAAACATGATGCAAGGAGGACATAACTGGGAGTCTCAATAATAGGCAGGCATATATTTATATTCCTCAACCTTAGAGAACTGAATAAGATAATTGCAGGAAACCACCATTTTCTGGAATTTCCTATATCCTTATGCATAAATGTCTTGTAACATTCCTAGGTAATTTTTTTTCAACTGTGTTTATTATTGTCCCTCCTTCACAAACGTACCTATATCTCAGTATCAGTAATTCCAACATTGCTCAAAATAATATTTGTTATCTTGACAAGCAAAGTGATACCCATAATAAGATTTTTGATAATCCAGGATTGCATGACTTATTTTAGAACTACACTTACATTCTCCCCAAAGGACATTTTCATGACACTATATTGCCGCCAATCAGCCTTTTGGAGATAAAGAAAGGACACTGTTAATCCCTATCCATAGAAAGTCAGCTCACTGAACAAGACTTATAAGGATTCAAGAAGGTTAAAAGGCAGATATTTTACAAACTTGGTCAGAGATAAAAATCTAGTGCGATTTGGGATTACTCAATTACAAAGCATTAAGTGTCATTGTAGTTGTTGAAAGAGGAATCGTGGTTGTTCAATTAACCCCAACCACTGCTGCTTTGGAGAAACTTATCAAGGCAAAGAAGCATCCTTATTTTCTATCATCATTCCCTGTAAGGAAATTTTCCAAATTGTCACTGTCTCTACCGAAGGAACAGCCCATTTAGCAGGTGGGACTCATGACAGTAGACAGAACTGTCATTTATTTTAAATCTATACATTTATTAATAAAATATGAATTAGCATTTGCATTTTTGAGAGCTTCTTCATTCCAGTAATTTATTTTAAACCTAAAATTGAATGTCCCTAATTCTTTGTCATAAGCCCCACTCTGAGACCACTTTTCCCCACTGTAAAGTTTTTGTGGCCTGAATTTAGGGCTGTATATTTCTACATACATTTCTGTCTAATTTCATCTGTTTTGTTTTAGTCTATCATGCTGTTTGTTCAGAGATGGAAAATCTGCAATTTGCTTCCTACAATGAATTAGCAGCAGGAAATCATTATCCTTGATTTCTTTGGCCCTCTGTGGAGATTAGTGCACTGTTGGTGCCAGCAAGTGTCAGGCAATGTGAAAAAATATGATTTAACTATTGAAAATGTTTGGATAAATCCTATAAGTTCCTTGTACGGTGTCATAATTGAATCTATTGATGCTTATAAATGTAATAAGAATTTTTGAGTTTTGAAGTCTTTTCTTTTTTACTTTTATGAGATTTTAGAAAAATTATTATTTCTCATTATTTTTATGAATTTATCATGCTGGGCTGATGCCAAAACTTGAATTGTATACTGTAGAATCATGGGATGGCACTGCTGGGTTCTGACTCATGCCCTAAATTAAGAAATGGCTCTGAATGTTGTCTCAAGGGTAAGTTTTGCTTCTGCTTTTGAGCTTCAAATTAAGAGACAGATTCTGAAAAAGATGCTGGGGCTTGAAGAACATTTTCAAGGACAGAATTATAAAAAGACAAGCTGTTGTTGATAGATCAAAAATGAGATATAAATGCTGGCCTACAATCAACTTGTCCTTCACGAGGAAAACATCTATAAACAAACAAAACAACCTTTGTGGCTACAAAACAACCTTTGAGATTCAGTCAGTCTCCAGTCAGTCTCCAAGATTGCATGATTTAGGTTTTTTTTTTCTTCCATATCTCACTTTTACCATTTAAAAAAAATGTGTTATTGGCCTGATTTCAGTCATGCTAATTAAAGCATCTTGTCAATAGTTTTGATTTAGTTTTCTATGCTTTCATCTGATAATGCAAAACCTATTGTATGAGAACAGAAGTTTCACACAGATTCAAGCCTCTGTGTTTAAATCCTTTCTTCAAAACCCTCCAATAGATACTTAGGGCAGGTTAAGCTCCTTTCTGAACTGTAGTGTTCTCTATGTGAAATGGGCTTTTCTATAAGTGTAAAATAACACATATGCAGTACATGGCCAAGTGTCTCTTACATAGCAAGTATTAGCAAATTTTTATTCTCGTTTTTCAGGTTCAAGCATTCTCATAACACTCTCTTCCTGATATTTTACAGGTGAATGCAAGAGATGAATTTGAAAGCGCTAGTTGCAAAGTATTGACAGCCTTACTGTAATATCAGTGAAGACTCAGTGTGAAAACCCAATTGTTTTACAGTCCATTTTTGTTAGCTGCTTTGGATTGCTTTGTTATTGCTGTCTGTTTTTGTTTCTTAGTGATCTGAAGAAAATTAATCTGACTCCCTTAAACCTTAGAAGAACATTTTGTCTGACTTACAGGTCTACTATTAATAATATCGAGATGAATTAGATACTACTTTAAAATATTCGATAGAAGGAAAAGACCCTCTTCCTGCAGGGAGGAAAATGATAGGATCAATGAAAGGGGGTAACAAAGGGACAGTGGCTGTGCATGATTATGGTGGGTATGAGCTGGTCACTGGTGGGATTCTCTTTGGGAAATAGAAGTGACTGAATAAGGAAGAGGAAGAGCTGCCCACCAGAGTTTTTAGACTGTTGGGTTACAGTCCAGAAGTAGCAGAGCCAGTGATTGCCTTCAGACTGATATTTCTAAGACAAGATTAAGAGTAAGCTAAAAGTTACTTCTCTCTCTGTCTTGATCCAATCAGACATTGAATGGTAACAGAAGCTTTTGTAAAAGCTGTGTAACTTCTCAGACTAATTTCCAAGGCACTTCTCTCCTTCTCCTAATGTTTTTCATCACCATGAATGCATCTGCCTTCACTACGTTTTCTCTCCATATTCCAGAAATAAGACCAGGCGACAATGTGTATACTCTGATCTCAAGCCGTACGGGCTTGTTCACTCCAGGTTCCCAAAAGAAAGTATCAGTCTTTGATGAAGAAGTCAATGAAGATCTCTTTAGAATCCCAGGCTTTTCTGTCATGTCACTATATGATTAATAAAGACACAGAAATATTGTGGTTGCACCTGATTATCACAGGCATGATCTTAACTGTTGCTGAGGCACTCCATACAGAACAGAAATGACACTGGTTACCTAATAGGTAGATCCAAATCCTTTCTGTGTCCTTTCTCTTCTGGGTCATGGTCCTTCGTGCTCTCCTGCTCAGGTCACCCTTTCCCAATACAAACCTCTCAATGACCAATTTAATAAATTAATTCCCAATTACTAATAAAGCTCTGGGGTGGGGGATGGGATTGCATTTATATATCATCAAATTCTTATTAAATTTAAATCACTGTGAAACATGAACAGCCTGGGAATATTTGTAAGGCTGGTAGATCTTCCTATTGACCAGTGACACTCATGAAAAAGCAGTTCTCCAGAAGTGCTAGATTGAGTCCTATGAATTTGCATGAAAAGAGGCTCCCCCTTTGGTCCTTTAAATGCTCCCCATGCTACAGCAACTATATAGACTATTAGCAAATTAAAAAGTGCTCTATAGGGGAGTGAGTCTACTCTGCTCTCTAACATTCTAGTGTGCTGACTTATTTACCAGTTTAACTCAAATAAGTAGTACTGCTTAACTTTTTCTGAGTCATGGACTCTTTTTGTTCAGATCTGGTGGAAATTACAGGTCTTTGGGAAAATGCACATATATGCATGTAGGCAAAAATTTTGTACTGAATCTCACATTGCCAATGGACTACCTAGGGTATATCCATGAAATTCAAAAGAAACATTGTCTCAGCTATACCGGAGGCATGGAACACTTGTGTCTAGGACTGGTAGTTGTGCCGAGTTTCTCTCATGGGAAATGGAGGGCTGTCGTTTACCCATACAGCTGGGCCACCTGTTCACTATCAGCACCTGTTTGGACTGCAGGGCATCACTCCGAAAGGATTGCGCCTATGCCTATGTAGTGTTAGGTGTGTTTAATTTTGTCCTTGCATGCAGGAAACACAGATGAACCTGGCCAGGGGGAAGGTCAAGGATGAGAGAACAGGGTGTGCAACATGGAGGGTGGAAAGAACATATCACTACTTTCAGAGCATGTTGCCTGCTAGGAACTAGCACTTCGAACCAGCTTTGCATCTGCGACTCACTCTCAGAAGGAACATGTACCAAATAGTAGGCTTTAGATTTCCAAGTGAGCTAAATTGATTGCAAAAATGGCTGAACATGCCCCCCATCCATATTTTTAAAAGGTGATTTTGCAGCTTTTCCAATCAAGAAGTGAAATCTGTTTCTGTGTGTGTTAAATATGACCTGAATTTATGACTTGCCTTGTCCAACTGTATATGACAGAAGTAACAAGTGTGGCAGTTTTGAAGCTGTCTCAAGGTTTTGATATCCCTTTTTCTCTTTTCTGTCTCCTCTGTCCCTGCCAAGAAAATATTCTCAGAGTAGCGTGCTGAAGGATGAGACCGGGTCCAGATAGTCCAGATGTCCCATAGAGACAGACCTTCAATATGTAAAATCACCTGGCTAATATCAGAAATGCTACCTAGCTAACCGGCAGCTAACTACAAATAAATGACAGAGCTTTGTCATATCT